CTCAGCCAACCTCTCCGTGGCACCAGCCCCTACTCGACACACAGATACCCAGCATGCCCCTGATCCCCAAATCGCAGACACTGCGTCCGAAGCGCCAATCGCGTCCACCAGCGCCGACACCAACGGCCCTCAGATGCGCCTCACCATCTCGGTCAACAACATGGGCGCTGGAGGCGACGCTCCCAGGTCCCACTCCATCGACGACGTCACGATGCACGACCCTGCGGCCTTCCCTCCTCTCGAAAGAGCGCCAGCGTCCCCAGCATTGCGAGCGCCTTCCTCGCCCCCGCCCGTCGCCCGCTCGACGAGCCGTACCAGAATTCGCTTTGCCGACGCCTCGACTCATCGCCACCCTGCAGATGCCAATGGTGCCGCTCCCGCCACGCAAACCGATGCCTTGGCTCGCTCCGGCAGCTTCTCCAGAAGCCTGAGCTACAACGGTCCCGGATTTGGCCACGAGAGTGTAAGCGCTTCCTCTGCCCAAGTCGTCGTCAGCTTCCCTCCTGCCAATGCATCCGCCCTCGCACCAGATTCCACACCCGCCCTCAACGCGCAAGCCGCGCTCAGCTTTGCACCGTCGCCCACTCCCTCTGCCGCCGCAATGGCGCCATCTACCCCGCAACAGTCAAGATCGCGCAGCAGCAGCCACTTGCAAGCGTCGGGCAATTCACACGCTGCCGCATCGCATGCGCATGTCCCGGCGCCCGCCAACGCAATTCCAGGCGGAGCCAAACAACGTCGCCCTTCGTCAGCGCGCCGCTTGAGTCGCTCTGGCTCTTCCACCGGTCCCACCACGCTGCCGTTCGCTGCAGTCGGCGCGGATCCAGCCTCGGCGAAGGACGACGACCCCTATGGCCCTTCGGCGATGACCCGGCCGCGACTCAGCTTGATTCCCAGACACGTCATTGCAGACACGCTCTACTATTCCGCGCACGCACAGCGGCCTGCATCGCTCGGAACAACTTCCACCTCCACCTCGCTCTCGATGCCGTCGGCCGCGCTCGCACACACGTTCGACCCCACTCGCGCAGTCAAGTACCACGCGGACCCTCTGGCGTTGCGCGACCCGAAGCCGGAGGCGGCGACGGGCGCAAGAGGCACAGACGAGGAGAAGCAGGCGTTGGGCGTGGCTGCCAAGTGGGGCGACGTGCGCTGGTTCGACCCGTACAAGCCCGACCCGCTCGCCGAGCTGTCGCGCCTGCGCACGCCGCCCAAGGGCCGCGGCTGCCTGTATCCGGGCGCCACGTTCAACGGCACGCAAAAGTCGGGTCGCAACTCGTACGACGTGACGGTGCGCATCGTCAACGTCGACCTCGAGGCGTCGCATTTGTGCGGCTACCTCAACATCCGCGGGCTTACCGAGGACTGGCCCGAGCTCACCACCTACTTTGACGCCGAGATCATCGGCGACCGGTATGGATTCGTGACGGGCAAGTGGGGCGCTACCGAAGCAGACGATCTCAAGCACTGGGCGCGTTTTCCGCCGTTCCGACCGCTGCGATCGGCGCTGTCCAAGCCGGGGCTGAGGTTCCACCATGCCAACAAGCCGTTCGTGTTCATGCGCTGGAAGGAGAAGTTCCTCGTGCCGGACCACCGCGTGCGCGACATCAACGGCGCCAGCTTTGCGGGCTTCTACTATGTCTGCGTCGAGCTCGGCGAGAGTGCGGCGCCGCCTGGTAGGGCCGAGGCGGAGGCGAGGCAGAGGAGCAACAGCAATGTGTCGATGACGAGTGCGAGCGGGCATGCTTCGTCGTCGGCCGCGTCGCCGATTTTGGCGCAGGCGGGCGGGGCGGGTGCGGGCGCTTCGGTGTCGGGACCGCAGTGGTATGCGGCAAGGACACAGCGACGTCGAGAGCTGTCGCTGTCTGCGCCAGGGCAGCCGCATTTGGCACACATGTACCACCAACAGCAACAGCAGGGTTCGGGCGGGTACCATCCGCAGTCTCCACCGGCGCTGCAGTCCGGGTCTGGATTCTGGCCCGCTTCGCCGACGAGCCCGCAGATGCCGCTGCCGACCGACGACCCGTTTGCAGGGCTGTGGGCCGAGGCCGATGCGGACTACGACGATTTGGGCGCGAGGGGCAAGATGTCGGGCTTCTACTTTCACGAAAACTCGGAGCCGTACCAGCAGCTCAGCCTGCACCATACGCCCGAAGCGTCGTCGTGTGCGTTCGAGATGCGCTAGTGTCCTTGCTTTCAATCCAAGGTGTTTCGGCTATCGAGGCTGCTCAGCCTGCAACTCGAGCCTTTGTCATGATGGTTCGAGCGCGACAGCTGAGCCTGTATCGTCTGGCCGTTTCACTCTCTGCTCTTTCGTCGTCTGTGGTGGATGGAATGTAAGATTTCAGCTTGCAGGATACGAAGCGTCGTTCTGCGCGTTGGAGATGCGTTGATCTTTGCCTGACTTGTCTTGCACACTTGAAATCGTCCGAGCCTGCGGCACTCTTGCCTCCGAGCAGGTAGCTCAGCACGCGCGCAGCGGAGTGTGACCAAAGTCGCGTCCGTGTCGACGGCGAGTCGCATGTGACGCAGCAGGGTCTGCTCGAGACCGTACAACGGCTGCAACGAGGCCTACCAGGCTAAAGCTCATCCAGTGCGTGGCCAAGAGCTCGACGACGCTGCTGCAGCACTCAAACAGTTTTCCTGCTTTCGGCAGTGTTTCGCAGTATGCAAAGAGTATGCAAAGAGAGAAAAGTGAGGTGCAAGATTTGATCGGATGATCCAAAGACACGGCGCTACAAAGGGCTAACTCAAATCTCGTAGGCTTGGCGGGTTGCGCGCTGCGCGGGTTCCTATTCGGCCGCCTTCCAGAGTTGGTCGGCTAGAACGAGCGGAGAGATTTCGTTTTGCTTGAGGTGGGCAGTATGAATGTCAAAGTGGATGGCCGAGTTGCGTGTGTCTGACCTGACGAGCAGCGTTGACCATTCGTCGGTTGCATCTGTGCTTTTGGACGGCAAGAATCCCAGCCCTCGGAAGATACGCAGTCTCAACCTGTCGCCCCATGTCAGCATCCTCTTGCTTTGTATTTCGCGCGCATCTCGCGGGGTTTGGTACTTACGCATCCTTATCCATCTCCGACTCGTCCTCAACATCGATCTCCTCCAACTCTTCCGCGGACCGTTTCAACTCGAGCAGTTCCGTCTGAAGACTCGAGAGCAGCGATTCCTGCTCGTTGATCTTCTTGGCCAAGTCAAAGTTCCTGTTGTCCAGCTTTTCGATCGTTTCGGCGTGTTGGGCTAGGGATCTCCAGTCGGCTGCTTGGCGGGTGCTCTGCTTGCGCAGGTCCGAAAGCGCCGAATCGAGCGCATGCATCTTGGCGCGCATCTCCTCGTCCTCCCGCCGACGACGCGACTGCGTCTCGCGGATCGTCTTCTCAATCGCCCGCAGCTGGTCCAGCTCCTCGTGCGGCTGCAGCGACGAGATCAACGCATCAATGTCGTCGTCTGTAAGCCGCGCCTCATCCACTACCGCCGTGTTGGCAGATGCAGATGTGGATGGCTGCGAGGGTGGCGGCATCAACGCCGCAGAATCATCGCGCGGTGCGACGGCCGACATCGTGGGCTGAGTCCAAGCGCGGAGGTTGAACGTGGTGTTGCTGTCTGTGGCAGAAAGGAGGCGAGCACGTTGAGGTGATGCAAAAACTTTTCCGATGGGGAATGGAGGGTGGATGGCGTGGATGGTGATGCGCGGATGGTGGTGGTGATTCAACACGGATGCACGGCTCGAGAGCATGCAGGGTGTTGACGCAAAAGGTGTTGCTCTCTGCGCGTCTGCCTCGGCGCGCGCTCGAGTTTGTTAGGCTTATCTCACCAACACTTTGAAATTAACGCGCGCCGCTCTCTCACGTGATGCCAGCCGCGGGTCCAACACCGGCGCATTCATGCATTTGGCTCCACATGCACCCGCACCTCTCCTCGCTACCACTCCATACCCCGCAACCCACCCACACCATGCCGCCATCAACAGCCTCGCTGGACCCACTACCGGATCACTGGGTGAGTATCACCTTCTTCCCCCCCCCCTTCTTTTTCACATCAAGCACATACATCTCTCAATGCTAACGCTTGTCTCCATGGCATGGTCAGTACTACTTCTTCGGCGTCTTGGAGCCACTGAGCGTTCTTGCCGGAAGCTACTATGCGCTGGTGCTGCCGGAGCGCTACCACCACGAGCTCATCCCACCCGCCTTCCTGTCGAGCAGCAAGCTGCAGAGCGGGCTGCAGAACGCGGGCGTGCTGTCGGATCCGGCACGTATGGCGCTCGGCCAGCTGGGCAGCTGCTACTTCCTCATCATGCTCAACTCCGCGCTCATGTTTTACGCACTGCGCAAGTGGCTTAGGGGCACCAACGACGTGGCGCTAGAGAGGATCTTGAGGTACCTCTTCTTCGTGCTCGGCGCAGCCGATTGTAAGTCTCCAACCCCCTTTGCTAGCGATAGTGGGCGGAACGACTGATCGATTGCGTGTTCGGGGGTGGCCAGGGACGCATATTGGACTGACGATCTGGCTGCTGCCCAATGGTCCGCCGACGAGAACGGGACTGGTGGGCGTGCACAAGGCCACGGCGGTGGACAAGTTCAGGCTGCTCGCCAATCCGGCCAGCTGGAACAGCCTCGTAAGATCCCCCTTGCTTCACCCCCTCGCTGCAGTAGAGCTGAGCGCGACTGACACTTTGACGTGGGCATGCGCAGCTGTTCGGCAACATCATGATCACGTTCATCCTGTTCTGTGTAAGTACGTCCACCACGGGTTCCTGGGTGCTGCGGCATGCTGACTTCTCGTTGCGCACTGGTTTTGGGCGTGGCAGTTCCGCGTGCTGTGGTGGACGGGCGTAGCACGCGGCAGCGCTATCCGCGCCGTCACCACCCCGCGCGCCAAGAAAGCCTAGACATCCCCCAACCCCGACAGGATGCACTATGTCGAGATGCTGAGCTGGAAATGGCAAGCCGGGGCGATGGATTGATTGCGAAACAGTGTGCGAGAGTGCGGACGGTGACCAAGTCAGGAGGCAAGTGGATGGGTAGGCGTACCGTCCGAATGGCGGCGAGCGGGCGAAGGAGGCATTTGGCGCTGCGCGCCATCCGGCTGGCTCGAGCGTGGCGATGGAGGGGTGGACGAAGACCTTGTGCGGTTAGGAATCTGAGACGATGGAGCGGGATGCTGATGCGGGTGGTGGTACATATGCGATGCGAACGGGTTGAGATTGGCGAATTGCTGCGGCTGCATCCGCGAGAGGGGCGATGGCGAAGCGGGTTGGTGCTGTTGCAGCCCCAGGCTACTGCGCGAGTTTCGGCGAGCTGCAATCAGCGACGCAGAGGGAAACATGCCCGGCTGGACGGTGGTCGCAGTGGCCAAGGCAGAGATGGACGGCAGTGCTAGATTCGTCTGCACGGGAGAGCGAGATGGCGTTGCATAGCGCGGCTCGATCAGCAGCGGTGCCAGTACACCCGCCGTGGCGCCCGAGACCAGATTCGGTGGCGGCGCGTTGGGCAGCGCATCAAGGCGGCTGAAGAACGAAGCAGCACTCGACAGAGAGGGTGAAGCAATGGGGCTGTCGACTTGCATGGCCTGGAAGGTCGACTGCACTTCGAGGTCCATATCCACATCGGCGTCGGCTCCATCGTCTTGATCGTCGTCCGCTGCAGCTGATCCTACAGCTTCCGACAGCGGTGTGGGAGCCATGGTGTGTATGCTCAGCTGGTGACGCTGTCGTGGCAGCAATGGTGACGTCGACCGTCCCGTCCCCGGCGAGCTGCTTCTACTACCCGCGATCCTGAATTCCGACACATAGCTCCCCAGCCTGAGCCGAACCGTCGGAGGCGCGCGTTCGTCGTCGTCCGATCCAGATGCAACACCACTACTCGACAGCGTGCTGTGCCGCCTTCGCTTTCGTCCGTGTGATCGTGCACGCAGTCCCAGACTGCCAGAAGGTGCAGCGCTGCTACTCGTACTGCTGCTACTGCTCGCGCCGCTGCTGCTGCTTCGTCGGCTTCTGCGACCCAGCCGCAGATGCGCCAGTGGGGCGGCGGTGCTGGGCGTCGCCAGCTGCGAGCTCGACGACCCGCTCGCTGGCGTCGCCGCACTACATCCGGCTGTCATGCTTGCGAGCCCCAAGCACAGCGTACGTCGCCGCCGAACCCTGACATCCAGCCCGGCTGCAAGGTGGATGGAAGAGAGAGCGGATCCGTGCGCGTGGAGGAACGCGTTGCTCTGCGCTCTTTTTTTT